AGAAGGGAAGGAAGGGGGTAGCGGATTAAACAAAACTGAATCCAAAATCATTCATTTTACATCAAACACTAAAGATCATCAATCTCAGACTCCAGTTGAGCAAGGGAAAAGTCTGGCCACTAGTCAGAGATTTAAATAGTCTTTCAGGCAGCCACCGCTTCAAAGAAGACGGCCAGTTGGGCTACAAACAGATGTTGCATTTGACCCAGGACAAAGTGCAATCATTCAGACATCTACAAAACTGTTGTCCTAAGGTAAAAGGTACATGGGATAAGAAGTGCTAAGTTTGTCTTTGAACATTGCAACGTGTGTTTGAATGGCTGTTGAATCAACGGCAGGAAAGCAGCAGTGCATTCAGCCGCTCACTAAACCCTGGCTGGAAGGGGGATGTACAATACATGTCAATCCCGGGATGTTTCTGTTCTGGGACAAATACAGGTGCACAACTTGTCCCAAGACAAATGCAACATCTGTTCCTAGCCTTAGATAGGTCATCCCAGGATATGTAAGCTCAGGTTACTCTGGGCTTTAGGGAACAAGAGCTTAAATTACAACTGGAAAGGAAAAAGACAGAACTGCATAGACTTTGCATTGATGCCAGGGGCCTGCAGTACCCCAGCTCTGTCAGGGGTTGGGTAGCCAAGGATTTCCTATGGAAAATCCTTAGACTGGGCATTGTGAATTTTTCTGTGCATCTCTCCCTCGTCCTCTGTAAAGGCATGGTATTCATTTTGGGTATGCTAGAATTAGATCAAATGAAAGGGTGTCAGCCTTTGACTACATAACTGCTCTATGAACCATTGTCTAAAGCTCTTGGTCAACTGACTTTTTCATAGAAATAACATCTCACTCTTCAGCTCACTGCATTTCCTCCCACTCTGTCAATGGAAAGTTATTCTCCGCAGTAGTTTCACTAGTGATTGCTCCAGTCGAATGTTAAGCATCCCCAAAGGACGAATTTGGGGTGAAGTCCTGGCCCCGCTAAAGTCAATGGAGAAATTCTATACATTTCTACTACTTCCCATAGGAAAGTCATCCACTGTCAGGGGAAAAAAAATGTTTCTTGATGTTCAATGTGTATTTTCCATTGCTCACCCTTATCCCCATCTTCTTATGCCCACTTACAACATGTGAAGTGATTGCTCTGCCTCCTCAACGTCATTTAAGGTTTCAAGGGAAATTTTCAAATGTGGTTGGGCAAAGGTGAGCAGACAAATCCCCATCCTGGCACTTAGGGAAGAGGTCCGATTTTTCAGAGAACTAGAGGCTCCTGCTGGCTTTCAGGACTTCCATGCGTGCCTGGAAGTGCTGCGAACCCTTGAAAATCAAGACACTGCCTTAGGTGTCTCAGGTTGGATTGAAGTCCCCAACATCAGGTACTCACCTTTGAAAACTGTGACACACTTTGCAAAGCCTCTTCACATGATCTTAAAATACACGTATTGACATCCCTACAGCCCAACCTCTGCCCTGCTTGCCTTGGCTTATATGTCCGAGCGCTCTCCCAGGCATACTTAGAGCAAGTCGATATTATTCCATAACAATGTCATGTGTCACTGGCGTTTTAACCTTGGCCTCAGTTTCTAACTCTTCTGACATATCAAGTGCACTTAAGCATGTGCACCGAGAACTTTTTAAAATAACATGACCCAATTCATCAAAAACATACTACCAAAAATAGCTCTTAGTCATGTGAGCAAAGCCCTTCACTTCAGCAATGCTACTTGTGTGGCACAGTTCTTTTACAGATATGGCCCAAAGATGTACCCTAAACAATCTCCTTATAACTAAACCCTTCTCGGTTTTGAAATCCTGATGTGAAAACAGCTGCTGTTGGCAATACGGGAATCTCCACTCCAGGAATTTAAAGAGCTGTTATAACCTGAGAACACAAAACGCCAGGAGACTGTCCCTGTGCTTGAAGAAGGGTGTCTGTGCCCGAAAGCTGGCAAAGAACAATTTTCCCAACTATTGAGCTGGTCTCATAAAAGAGATCACATTTACCCAATGAACCTTGCATAACATGAAGGATGACATGAAATAAAAGGATGCAGCTTAGCACATAAAACTTTTGAGCAGAAACAAAAAAGAACAACGAAGCCCTAACTAATACTATAATTAAACACTGGCAAACAACTTTTCTGGGGAAATAACCTCTTCACTAGAGGGACCAAGTCAGGGGAGGAAAAAGATCAAATTTTACTATCCTTCCTTGTGATCCTAACACCACCCACAACATTAAAACTTGAAAGGTTTAAATATCTATTAGCTTTCTATTTTCCATTCCGCATCAACGTGGACAGGCCCCTTTGTACGATTTCCAAGCACAGCTGTGCTTGGTAACACAAACGTCATGATGGAGTCATAGTTTCATGAAACCAGTTATTCGTTTCAGGTTTTGCAAAGTCCTCGTTGTAAGAGAACTTCAATTTGAAGCGTCAGAATTATGCACAACGCTGGGGGGAGAGAGTGATTCGTGTTCTTTACTTTTGAACTGTAAAGCAGCTTCATGTAGCAATTCGGTCTTGTACTCATGGAAGAAACGGCAACTGTGTTCATGAGAAGCAAAATGAAACGAACCAGCCAGTTGTTTCATTCAGTCAACAAGGCATCGCAGAAAGGCATGCATAGAGCAGGGCACAAGCTTGCAAGGAAGCAATCGGTGGATTCATGATTCAGATTTTTTTTTTTTTATGATGTTTAATGTCAGGAGCCTTTTTGCCTCTACATAAAAAGAAAAACATGACTGTTGACATTTAAATGGTCACCAGTCACAGCCAAGTAAGCCGAAGGTCCTGTCCTATCAACCTTCTGCACAACTGTAGACAGCCAGTCAAATTATGATACAGGCCCTCTTTAGCATATTCTAGGAGAATTTCAACGTTTCCAGCTCTCCCCATTCCATACAGCGTTTCATAATGTCTCGTGTTTATCTCATTGTTCCAGATCCTGGAGTCCCATGATTAAATTAAAAGCTTGATTTCAAAACCAAAAAAAAAAAGAATTTATGCATTTAAATGAAAACGACGTTTGTTTTCAGCCTCTGTTGTTGCAGAGAATAAGTTTGAAACGAGATTCCTACAGGCTCAAACTTAGGACGTGCCACAAAGTTTTAAAAACAGATTGCATGATTTTTGAGTCAAGATCTTGCGATGTGTTTTTTTTGAACACTTAAGGAAGGTCATACCAGAGAAATCAAATTAAATCAAGTTATTTGTGACTGTATATAATTAAAACGTACTCAGAAAACAAATCTGGTAAGCTTCCTTCCTCAGTCAGTGTTGGGGAAGTTCACCACAGTGCAGGAAACCCCTTTCTGATCTCATGGGCTATTTTGAGTGCTGTTCTATTCCAAGAGACTGCTTTAAAATGGGTCAGTGTGGGATCCCCTGTGTATTGCCATAATTTTCTACATGAAATACGTTCAGTTTATGAACCTTTTTTTTCCTCTCTGACAGCTCAAGAAACCTACCCTGGGCTCCGAGAGCCATGCTGGCTTATTTCCAGCTCGTGCACTGGCCACAAGTAAAAACGCTTTGCAGCAGCTGTATCTGTGCTGCCTTGCAGGTCTGATCAAGAGTGCAATCATCTTAAGGCAGTGGGAATGCACAAGTAGTTTGGGAACTGGAATTTCAGGACTACTTCTGCAGCTTGCTGACTATTTTACACGCGTGGTAGAAACAAAGCTTTGCTTGGTGAGGTCTGTAAGCCATCATGCAGAAGACTTCACGCAAAGAAAAGAAATGGTCAGTCTTATCAAGAACAGAAGATGTCCAGCAAATAGGTCTCGAGTAATATTGCAGCAGGGATGGCTTTTCCTAGCTACCAGGAGAGAAAATAAATATGTACCAAGATATGCACATAGCATATGCCTTTGCTTTACAGTGTTTGGAAATCTCTAGTGAAATCACTATAGATAAGGGGTGGAGGGACCAACAGTTTTCCAGCAAAGCATACTTAAAACTCCAGCAGCTGGAAACAAATTTCTCTAACAGTTTATATTGCAGGCAGATTAAATCAACAAGTATGGGGCAGAGGCAGTTAACAGAGTCCAGAGCATTTTGGCAAGCAAATGTTTTGCCTGCTCTTGGTTTTTACAGTCCGGGCTGCCACGGGGAGAGCCGCCAACCAAGTCTTAGGCTGTTTGGCTTTGCCCAGATTGCTGGTATACAAAACGTCTATAAATAACCCTCTTCCCAAAGCAGGAAAAAGATTGTAAAGTCCAGTAATAACTTACATGGCTGTTGAGCAAACTGCTTTTGTGTGATGTAATCCCTTCATTTTTTTGTAGGTTTTCAATCGCCATTTCAAGCTAAAGAAAATGTGCACATAAAAAAAAAAGAGAAAAAGACAAGAAAGGAAATCAGATAGTTAGCAATAAGCCAAAGATCTGTCTTTTATATCTGAGTAATGATTAATGCTTTCTATCCACAGGCTTGTGACGAAGAGGCAAGTAGATGAGATACAGTCCTCAATGGATGAAGCCACAGCAAAGAAATGTTATTGTACCACATGCAAACTAATTGTATAGCAAGAACATATGAGGGGTGAAAGAGTGAAACTAGAATCATTTCAGAGTTTCCATGGAATACGCCCTGTTCTTACAGTAGATATCTTTTTCCTTTCCTTTGCCCCCTATATAGCAAGTCACTCATACGAAACTGCTCCTTATAGAAACATGGCTAAGTGGAGATTCACTACATAAAATCAGTGTGTCACCATCATCTGACCAAGAAACCCACATTAATAACTTTAGTTATTAGCACTGCCTGAAGAAGTGAGAGCTGCTGAATGAGATGCCAAATTCTGCAAATATACTAATTGGCATGAGTTTTCTGGTCTAAAATCCTACAGACATGGGACCAGGAGGTATTAGATCTTTGTGGCTTAAGCAGAACTGGGCCTTGTCTGTGGCTGGATAGGAGATCTCCAACCAAAACCTACAACTTTCCTTAGGAGGCACTATTCCCGCCCAGCCAGAACTGTGTTGGCCTTGTGTACCTATCTATGCTGTTCAGTGGAGTCAGTCATGTAAGAGCTCCTCTCAAACCTGGGGGAGGTTTACTCTGAGAGACGAGAAGCTGTGGACAGAAATGTTACAGGACGCAGTTTGAGGATGGGGGGAAATAATCCATTTTCCCAATACTAACATGTGTACAGAGGGCTCTCAGAGCTACTGATCTGACTCCTATGGGAATACAGATCCCTGGACAGTGAGTGTCAGAGAAGGCCGGCTGTTTGCAAGTGCAGAAAACTAACCAAAAAGTCCAAGCTTAGGGCTTGGGCAGGTATCAAGCCCTGCTATTCATCTCCAGTAAATACACACATCAGAGAAAAGGCCAAGGCAAATCACGGCCCAAACCAAGCGACAGGACAAAAAGGCACATAGCATCTTGGTAACTAATGACTCATAATGTAAGTAAGCAGAGACATTAATTATTCTTCTTCCTGAATGTGACTTGGTCCAGATGGCTCACAAGCTGCAGCCGTATGGGAGAGAAACAGTTCAGCAGAGGCACACACACGGGGCAGCAGCAGCATAGATCGGCAGGTGTGAACATTACCACATTAGCCAACAGCCAGCACCTGCGGGGCACAGTGCTCTGTTTGGGGCTTTGCACTTTGCTATCCAAAATGAGGGCAGCCTTCCTTTGGTCTCCTTTGTATGTTAGCCAACTCCTTGCAGTCCAGTTTGCAATGTGACTCTCAGGAAGGTAGTCATAAGATAAAGGGAGAATCAAAGCAACTAGTTTCAAAGTCAGAACCCACCACACACCAAAGGGAGTGGAATGGATTGAGAGCTTTTGAAGTTGCATTCAGTAATCAAGGATGTGGCTTGCACAGTATCTGAATAAAGACAAGTACCCAGCCTCCTACACAAACCTCTCCAGCATTAATTCCTTGGTTTCTGCTCATTAAATCATAAGACATGACATACAGAACAGATCACGCAGGTTGTAGCACCCATTGGTTTAGCATTACACTATCTAGCTCAAAATAAGGACTAGACTCAAGGACTAAGTCTGCTTCATTGGTTTCTAAGGAACCTCCTGTGAAATAACCATGAGGAGCCAAAACTCATCAACCATTTGCTGAGGCAGCCTTGAAGAAATGAGTAAAAGTATCAGAGAGCAACACCACTTTCTTCTCCTGATCAGGACAGAGAGAAACAATGAGAGATCTTCATGGTGTGCACACTCCCATAACACAGTAACAAAGAAAATGGAAGCTGAAAACACCAATAATACACATACACACATTCCTAGAGTTTGGGTTTTTATGTTGTACATCTGCCAACATCCTAAAGTTGCAAAAATAGTCATCAGAGAATTACACTTCTGATGATACTGGCAACAGCACACCATACAGGAAGATGCACCGTCTCTGGTACTTGGGGATTTCAGTGCTTTTGGCTGGCATAAAACTCATGTGGCCGGATGTGGCGTAGTTCAGCAGAGCTCGTTAAAGTTACTATAACTTTCACACTATCTCTGTTCCAGGTTTAGTCTAAGTAAAGAGAAGTACTAGATCTCTTGAATATGCTCCAGGGCACATGGCAAGCCAGAGACATGCATCACTTAAGGGTTTGCCAGGTTATTTCATGGTCCGGATGTACAAGGTGATGACAAGTCTCTATTAACTGCTAGTCACTAGCTGCTAAAGAGTGTGACAGTGTGGGGATTATACCAAAAGAGCTACCATCACATTGATTAACTGGGTTTGGAGTGGATGGAAAGATGACAGAGATTCTGAATAGCTATTCAGATGAAGTCATAAGACAGACTTTGCATTTCTGAGCTTGAAGTTGAGATTTATTGATACAGATACATACATGCGTCTAGGTACAAGGCATGGTGGCTAGGTACAGCCATTGCACCTATTGCACTTTAAGTGCACAGAAAGCACCCTAAAGCCATAACTGAACAGACATTCACAGCTCTTATAGCACTTCAAAAATGGCAGATCGTGCTCTAAATTAATCCTCGATGGCTGAGATATGAGACTAAAGTGCATTCTGTTAGAGCGCTTTATTGAATGTCTGTGCCAGATCTCATTGAGGGTTAACAGAGCATTATCGCCACCATCCTAGAGGATGTAGCGCAGGGCTGCACTGTAGCCTCAGGCAGAGCTTGTTTGCTCTGCCCAAGTACCAGCCTGGCCCCATCCCCTCTGCTCCCAGCCCCACCTCCTCCCTCTAGCCAGCTGTGAGCTGCAGCTGGGGGGAGGAGAGGGAAAGAGGTTCTTTCTCCCCACAGATGCCCTGGCCCTGTGGCATGCAGCTGCCTGGCCAGGGGGGCTGCAGGGGAAGGCCTGGGGTGGGGAAAAGAGGGGCACATCAATGCCACCAGTGGCCAATGTAGGCAGGCTCCAAGATCTCACCCCCCAACCCTGCTCCAACAAACAGCAAACGACTGTTCGGTTTGCTCATGCTCCAACTTATAGTGCTTTAAGTAAAGCGCAATAGAGCGCTTCTCCCAAGGGCTTTTTGAGTGTCTATACTTAGCCGATATGACTTACGGTTTAAGCAGTCCACTAGAGCTGCTACCTATAAACCAAGAGCAGCCCCTATTCCAGCCATAACTGCAGCCCTGCAGAGATGTTGGGAGAATATTTAAACATGTGCTTGTTCCTCAGTTCAAACAAATCGTTACACCAAGCCTTTACATCCTTCGCCAGACTCTTTACAGGCCAAGCCTCCCGTGAAAAAAATCTCCAGCATTTCTTATGCCGCTGCTAGTTTTGGAGTACCAGCTTTTGACCACAGATCTCTCGTCTGAGGATAGTCCTACCTCTCCCCACGAATGTCTTAGTGTCAGCTTCCCTCCCCAGCCCTCTCCACTGCCACATTCCCTGTCACTGCCAGTAATATGACCACCTTTCCTACTGGTCGAGGCTACAATATGGGAAACATTTGAGGCACAGGCAGAAGTGACAATTTTCACCTGATCTGGCCCCTGAAAGCTCTCTACTGCCATAACTAAACACAAGTGCATAGCTGCAGAGTGCTTTAAAAGAGCCCAATCCTGTGAAAATCTGAAGGGTTCAGATGACGGCGCTCCAAAGTGAGCACCCTCAGTAACTTCTGTCTGCATGCTTGGACTCTTGCCATCTTTGCCCCACACACCCAAGCTGTATCCAAATCCCCGCTTGCCTGGATATTTGTATAAGCTACGCTTTGCTTTCCAGCGCCTTAGCCAAACCTCTGATGTCCCCATTATACCCAGCTTCCATTATAGCAACTTCACCCACTCTGGCCTTTTCACTGCCCTGCTGTCCTCCCTGCAGTCTATACAAAATGTTGCAAAACATCATTATTTTTCTCACCCATCAATGTGACCAGGGCACTCCCATTTTGAATCCTTCTCCTAGCTCCCAGCGTTCAAACCTCTGTGGAGCTCTCCGCTCCCAGCTGCAGCCTACTCTTATGCTTCCAAAAATACATTCTCCCCCACAAACTAACCTTCCTCAAAGAAACTTTTTTCTTCCATCTCTGAAAGCAAGACACATTTTTCCCACACGCATGCAAAAAGTTGCCCCTGCCAAAATCCTAAATCAAGCAAAATTCAATCCTGGATTAGTGACAGCTCTTTTAGGTATGAAAATGCAAGATCTTCAAAGTCTCATTTCATAAATTTGCAGGGCTAGAAATGGGAATTGTGTTGGGCAGATTTTCAGAAGTATTCAAGAATCAGCAGCTCCCACTTTTTCCCCCCCAAGTGCTGTCCACATTGGGAAGTCTGGCCATGTATGGCTGTGATTATGCCTCCATATTTCTACACGCATCCACTTGGAAAGAGAAGGTGACCCCCGTCCCACCAGAACACCAGCTCCAATGAACTTCTGACAACATGTATTTCTAGGCCTGGAAGGTCCTTACATAACAGCCCTGACACATATAGCCACAGGTAAGCTAATTTAGCTCATTTATAAATATTTTTTATCCTCGTAGAGCTGTGCTCATGGTAACTAAGTATTTGAATCTACAGG